GTTACTAGAATAATTGGATATCAGCATAAAACCTGGCTGCAGTAGAGCCACAGACCCAGACATGGTTCTAGGCTATAGCTTGGGCTCGGATACCACCATGGCTCCGTGGTGGATACCACTGTGGCAGCACAGTCTACCCTCATCTGTATGGGGTGGCAGCATGACTCTTGGTCACCAATATGACCTCAGATATCAGCCCATATCCTAGGGATCTGCACAGCCTTCAGTGGTTACAGAAGTCACTGACATGGACACAGGCCCTGGTTACGTAGGGGTAGGGACCCAGACCAATCCCCAACAGCATACTCTGGCCAGGGGTGGCAGTGTAGTACACTCAGGTTGGCATCATCCTGGCTTAAAAATGGCCCCCAGACCCCAACATGACCCCAGGTGTCAGACTCCAGGAACACACCTGATCCTTGATGGCAACAGGCACCTGGGATATCAACACAGACTCTGGCTGTGGTAGGGCCACAGAAGCAGACATGGTCCTCAGTTGCAGCTCAAGCCAAGACTTCTCCATAGCCCTGGGTGGTAGCCCAGGCCACTCAGATCAGTATGGCCCCTGTGGAGGCATGGCCTTTGGTCACAAATGTGGCCATGTGGCAGCCCAAATCCTTGACATCATCATGGCTTTTGTTAGTAACAGGAGCCTTGGACATCAACACAGAGCACAACTAAAGGCAGGGCCATGGACCCAGACATGGTCGTTGGCAGCAGCCCAGGACTGGACACCACCATGACCCCAGATGGCAAGCAGGACTCCCACATCAATTGGTTTCTCACCACCTTCACCTCTACAGATCTATGTCTCTCCCCAGGACATGAACCTCCCTTCCTCTATCTTCCTTCCATACCCCTGCATGCACTTGCCCATCATAATGGCACCCAACTGCCTGGGACCTCAAGGGAGGCCTTAACCTCTTCCACTCAGGGAAAACTCCCCTGGTCAGCATATATGAGTCTATCTCTGCCACTAAAGGTATACTTTTTATGTTCTACCAATGTCTGCATGTTTGTATGTGTTCCATATATGTGTCTGCTACTCCTGGAGGACCAAAGAGGACACTCGATTGCCTGGAAATTGACTTACAGGTAGTCATGAGCCACCTGATGAAAGTGCTGGGCACAGAACCTGTATCCTCTGCTACAGAGAGCATCAAGTGCTCTCCAGCCCCCAGTCCCATATCCTGAAACACTCTTCTTGGTAATATTGACTTCAGTGTGTGTGTGTGTGTGTGTGTGTGTGTGTGTGTGTGTGTGTGTGTGTGTGTGTGTGTGTGTGTGTTTATCACTTAGGCTTCTGTTGGGCATGTGGTTTTTCAGCTCCTTCTGTGATTCCCTTCATTGTCTTCTACATTCTAGTGTTTTACTGGCTCTTCAATCCCTTACCTTGCATCCTTCCTTATTAGTCCAGAAATATATCAACATGGATGATATGTTGTGGTATTTCTACCCTATTTTGGAATTCTGACTGATGGCAGCTTTCTTTCTGTAAAGTCTCAGAGGGAGAGGTGACAGATAATGTGCACAACACCGCCCCGTGTACTGCAGGCCTATGACTACATCTTACTGAAACCTTCATTTCCCTGACTCCCTCACTCTACACTCTATTCTTTGCTTTGTTATCTCCCTGCCTTCTCTTGATTTTCTTTATAGTGTCTCCATGTTTTGATTTTCTTAAGTAATTTGGATCACTCAAGGCTTGATGTGAACCTCTCTTTTTTTTATTCATTGCTCTCCATGGTCTTCTTCAGCATATCAGTAGTTTCATTTTTATATGCTTTGTGATGTTATCTTGACATCTGAATATTGTTATTCAAATCAGTAATGTTTTTTTAAAGCAGAAATTTAAGAAACATTGCAAGGATAACTTCATCTTCCTAGTATTCTTGGCTTTATTATCTATTTGACTTTTTTATACCTTTAAAACTGTTCTTTGACAGTTTTGTGCACATACATAGTGTGCTGTTGTTATACTCACCTCTACTCTTTATCATCTCTGTCCTACCTCAGTCAATAACCCTTCCTCTTACAAGGCTCTTTCTCACATTCATATCTTTGTGTTTTATTTTGTGACCCACTGAGTTTAACAAGGGCCTTGAGACCATACAGCCTACTGGGGGAGAAAACGCATCAGTGATCTTACTCAATTTTGAACCCTAGGAACTACAATACCAATGGGACAGGCAAAATGTGTCCTTGGTGCAATAGCAGCATGACAGTTGTAGGGATAACACCATGTTCTCCAGCTGGGTTTGAAGCTTACTCTACAGGAGGGACTCATGTAAACCCAGTCACAATCTGGGGTTGAAAAGGTTATAGTCTGTAGAGGAAAACTTACTACTGGTTTGTATTTAAATTAACATGGGTGTCCCACTGTTAAGCATTTATGTCTATATCCACAGGTAACTGCAGCTCTCCTCTTTAATCAAACAAGCATCGCTTTGCAATGAGTTGCAGTGTATGTAAGAGACTCATGCCTGCTAAAGATGATGAGAGTAAGTGATGGTTCAGTGCTCAGAAGACTTAGACCACTGCCTCAAAGGCTCATGGATTACTGAGGATGAGGGACAGAAAGAATGTAAGAGCCAGAAGACAAGAAGAATGCTCACTAACAGCTATGTTCTGGGTATGACATCATAGTTCAATCACAATCACACAGGAGCTCTGATTGCCTAACTGAACCTGTCAACCATCAATCAGGGATCAAGGAAGAATCATGCAGCCCCACTCCTCTCTGCTGAGCTATTGGATATTGATGGATTGTTGAGGAGAGGAGCTCATTGTCTTTAGTTGTGAGACCATGGGTTATATCACTACCAGGCTCCAATGCCTAGTGGTAAATTTTACTTTTAAAGGAAACACTTTAAGTATACATATCTCAAAATTGGCTTAATATTATTGAATAATATGTTAGTCAGTGATTCCATATTGCTATAGTAGTGAATAATAAATCTCTGACTCTTTGCTTTCAAAGTTAGTTATTGAGGATACATGGAAAACATGGCCACAGTTATTAAAGACACTATAAAATAGCCTCTGGACTGAACTTTAGTCTCTCTTCTTATTTTCTACCTATGCATCTATGATATTGTTGATCTATGTGGCCTTTGGTTAATTCTATTTTCTGTGTAATATTGGGTTGCTCATGGTTACAGTGGATAGCTCATTAGCATACTTTGTAGAGTTGTTACTATTATATACTGCATAAAGAAATACATATATTGACTTTTTGAATTTTGAATTACTATATATTCCATAGTTTATATATAACATATATGCATACACGTATATACACACTGATAAGCAAATGTCTTATAGTAGAACCTAACTCAAAAAATACATTCCAAAAGTATATTAATCAGTGTTCCATTGCTATGAAGAGATGCCACAACCACATGACTATGACAATTTTTATAAAAGAAAGTATTAATTGGGGGTTGCTTGTACTTTTGGAGGTTTAGTCCTCTTAAATTATCATTATAGTAGATAGCATGGCACTGGAGCAGTAGCTGAGAGCTACATCTAGATCCCCAGGCTCAGAGAGAGAGAGAGAGAGAGAGAGAGAGAGAGAGAGAGAGAGAGAGAGAGGAGGGGAGAAGAGACAGAGACAGAGACAGAGACAGAGAGCACGCCTGGGCCTGGCCTTGGATTTTGAAACCTCAAAGCCCACCCTCAGTGACGTATTTCCTCCAACAAGGCCATGTGTATTCTAACAAGGCCACACCTCCTTAGCTTTGTAATCTTTCCAAACAGTTTCACTCCCTGGTGACCAAGCATTCAAATACATGATCCTATGGGGGCCGTTATCATTCAAATCACCACAAACAGAATATATTTAAGAAACAATTTTAAAAGCTGGGCGTGGGTATACATACTGCCAACACTTGGTGGGTGGAGGGAAGGGGACAGTAGTTTACAGCTAGCCTCAGCTACACAAAACTATGTTTCATGGGGAAAAAGCATATAGAAGAACTAGAAAAGTGTTGAAATATACTTTTTTAATACTTCAAAATCAATCAGAATTCTCATTCTCAAGTTCACTTCTTAATAATGTCTTCATAGGTAATTTTTTTTGCACAGCAGAGCAATCTGCATATCATATATCACCTATAATGGAGGACTTGACTGTGTTAATGCAATGCCTCACTGTAAATGTCTATAAATACAAATGAGGTGTTTAAATGTGAAGATCCTGTGGATAGATGGCAATTCCTATAATTATAGCATCATTACACCTGCCTGCAGTGCACGGAATAGTTAAAGTTACAACTGTTCCTATTATTGGAAAAGTAATAACACTTATAATTGTACAATGAAGTATTAAAAGCTTAATACTCAATTTGAAGGCAGATGAACTACAAATGCAGTGAAAACTGAACCCATAAAATTCATACAGTTAATACACATATGCTATAGACAGACACTACAGAGTAAGAAGAGATCTGTGGAGTCCACATGGCTCTCCTTTCCAGATGCTCACATTCTAATTTTTGAGTAGCACTATGATAAGTATTTATCATCCATGAATCATCACCATTGTGTGTGTGTGTGTGTGTGTGTGTGTAAGCCAGAAGTTGACATTAAGTATCTTCCTCAATCACTCTCTACCTATTTTCAGAGGCAGTCTTGGCTGCATCTAGCTCACTAGTTTGGCTTGGTTGGCTAGCATGCTCCAGAGATCCTCTTGCTTCTGTTTCCCCATGCTGGAATTATAAGCATGCTGTGTCTGGCTGTATATATAGGTACTTGGGATTTGAACCCAGGTCCTGAAGTGTGCAAACATTTTACCTACTGAGATATCTCCCTATTACTCACATCAACATTTTTAGTCTGAAGCATGCATAAACTCAGATTAAAGGGATGAAATTATAAATAAATTAGATGCCTTTTAGTTTATTTGTGTTGAGGTCAATTGCTTTGAAAACCAGTAATATTACATTGTTGCTTTTTACATACGAAATGTTGATCATTTAAATCTGTGCCAGGTAACTCACCATCATTTCGCAGAGTGAGCGGTGTAGGAGGACTGAGCACTCGAGCATTCGTCACGGCGTTTTTCACCAGACAAATATAGCTGCCAACATCTGATGTTTGCACTTTAGAAATATAAAGGTTGCCTGTCTCTTGGGATATGAACCGCCGGCTGTCCTCCGCCACAAAGGAGGGGAACTCGTTAAAGACCCAGCTATAGATGAGCTCTGAAAACACACAGAATTCAGTTGTTGAATAATACAGATTACTTAACTACAGACAAAGTTCAAACTACGAGGGCTTTACTAAACATTCTTTGGATCCAAGGCCACACATATTTGATTCATAAATAATTTAATATATTATATTAAAAGCATAGTTGTGGTTTATAGCTGTGGAAAGATGTCACATAATTCTCAGAGATGCTCTGCATTTATTCATTTTACCTTTAGTTCTGAAGAGTATTAAATAGGTGCATGATATTCAGCATTGTGTTAACATGAAAGTTGAAAATTGAAGAGATAATTTATTGTTATTCTATATCAACTTAATTGGTTATCAAAACCTATGAAAGAGTATAAAAAGATGGCAGAACAGACTGTAAGAAAATATGGGAGATGTGTACTTAGTCCTGTTGGTCCATACGGACTTCCTGATTTAGGAGCTAGCTAGAATTTAGTTATTACTGGTTTGTTTATCAAATATTGGTTGTGGATTACCTTAGACCAGAAATCATTCCAAAGAGAAAAGGAAAATGTCACGATTTCATTGAGCTATCCATCTGATGGGGGAGAAACCAAGATTATAAGGACAACTGAGCAAAGGTTAATGAATGGGATGAAAAATGACAGAGAAAGGAAGAAGAAAACTAAAGCATCTTTGCTGTGGATATCTTTCTGTATAAATAAAACACTGACTGGCCAGTAGCCAGACAGGAAGTATAGGTGGGACTAGCAGAGAGGAGAGAGGAAAAGGGGAGGAAGGCAGAGAGAAGGAGACACCAGCTGTCCTTCAGGGAGCATCATGTAGAGGAGACAGGTAAAGCCACGGAACACGTGGCAACATAGAGATTAACAGAAATGGGCTTAGTATAAGTGTAAGAGCTAGACAATGGTAGGCCTGAGCTAATGGCCGAGCAGTTTAAATAATATAAGAATCGGTGTGTTTATTTTATAAGTGGGCTCCAGGACTGGCGGGGATTGGCGGGAGCTGGAGAGAAGCTACACATCTTCACAGAGCTGGTGAGCAGTTGGACTGAAGAAGAACCTGAGGACTGTATTTATAGTCTCTTCAGCTCTGGAGTGAATAGTGGGAAAATGGTGCAAATCAATGACTAGGAGAGCAAAGAGGAGGAATGAAATCACAACCACAGGAAGCTGGTTGTGAGTAGTTACAAGTGACGCTGCTTCTGAGTGACAGTGATGCCAGTGAGGAGCCACAGGCTCTTGATTGTGTTGAGAGCATGGCAGAAGAGCGTTGAGACAGAGACACTCTCAGCAGGCAAGAGCACTTGATGCTCTTGTAGTGACCCAAGTGGGTTCCTAGTATACAGCCCTGCTGTAACTCAGGCTCCAGGGGATCTGACACTCTCCTCTGGTCTCTTCTGGGGACCTACTTTCATGTGTACACACACACACACACACACACACACACACACACACACAGAGTTTACATATAAATAAACATAAACTTAAAATTGATCATGATAAACAGGAAGAGGCAAAAATTAAGGATTTGGATTTAAGTAACTGAGCAGTGTAGGAGAGAAGATACATTTATCTCTGTCTGGATAGCACAATGATAAAAAACGAAGTTCTTTGGAGATGTGAGCACAGTGAAACTATGACTCCTTAAACTGATATAATGTCAGTTATGCAATTCAGACTCAATAAGGAAGGCCTTTAAATTTGAAGACAGGGCAATTGAAATCTCAGTTGGCTTCAAACTCACCTATGTTATAACTGGAAGAACAGATCCCACATTCTCCTTCTTGCAGAGTTACTTGTTTGAGAAGGCAAATTAATTAAGGCTTTAAAATACACATGTTATTATAATCTACCTTTAGAGTTAGGAAGATTCACTTTATATTGTATTTTTCTTTATTCCTCTCAATCACCCTGTGTTCTCTCTTTATCCTACTATGGATTGTTAAAAGTCAGTTCCCATCTCTTCTACATACTTCAAAATGGGGAACCTGGCCTTGAGCCAACATTTCCAGATACTAAAGCAGATTTCAAAAATACTGTGAGGGACAAAACCCCAACCAGACATCTGTCATCACTAAATAAATTTCCCAAGATTGGAATTTGGTTGTATCTAACTGAGTTATTGTCCAAAGGGGCCCTATAGGAACCCCCACTTCCTCTCCCTGACACCAAACAACCCAGGCTATAATCAAGGCTATTATTGGTTGTGCTCCATAAACTGATAGTAAGGCCCTATTGCAGAAGACAACAACTGCATAAGTCAGTGAACATGGAGAAATCAAGCTGGTGCTTACCTAGAGCCTTTACCCCTACTGGTTAGTTAGTGTTCATGGTACTAGAAGGTAATCTGTACACTACCAGAGGAGAAAGATTAGTATGTACCAACGCAGCTACAAACCTGTGATCTACAATGGTGATCTGCCTGCATGATATGCTAATGCAATAGTATCATAAAAGATGTTGGAGTAACCAACCACTATCTTATTGGGAATAAAGTTCACTCCATAAGCTGGAACCTGTGCTCTGGTGGCCAAGAACCTGAGACTAGATAGGACATGGTCTCGGGGAAAAGCCAAATACTACTGTCCTGCTAAAGGAAGGTTTCAGTAAAGGGACTCCCAATACATTCTGCTATACTTATAGATCATCTTGCTTAGTCATCATCAGAGAAGCTTCATCCTGCAGTAGATAGGAACAAATACTGGATCCACAGCTAGAAAATATACAGAGTGAGAGACCTTGGACACACAGTCCTAAGTGAGATGTCTCCATCAAATCCCTCCCCTCATGACTCAGGGAACTCCGTAGAAGAGCAGGCAGAAATATTGTAAGAGCCAGATGGGATGGAGGAAGACCAAGGGCACAAGACCTTATAGACAGAACAGGATTGAAACATATATGAACACACAAAGAGTGTGGCAACATTCAAAGGACCTACACAGGTCTGAGTCAGATGGAGCCCCAGTTCTTAAAGGGAAAAATAAATGGACACAATCCCCATCTCTAACTCAGAACCCAAATGATAACACTCACAAAGGAAGATTTCGTTTTCTCTAATGAAGTCTCATTGAGTATATAAAGCAAACATAAGGGAAGGCTGTCCTCCCAGTAGTAGATGATCAATAAATGACAAATTCAGTAACTCAGTGCTATCTTTGGAGGGCTGTTTTTTAAACCTTACAGATCTTTTGCTTATATATTATAGTTTTTTTTTAAATTATTTGTGTGTGCTAATGTGTGCGTTTTAGCATCTGTGTTTCTTGTGCTTTTACTTTTGCCTTTTTTCTGTTTATTTATCTTATCTTAATCTGGTTTGTTTTTATTTTGTCTTATTATCTTATATTACTATTATTAATTATTTAGATTCCTGCTTGTATTTTAATAAGAGAGAGAAAGAAAGGATATAGATTTGGGTAGGTAATGAAGTGAGGCAAATCTGGGAGGAGCTCTATAATCAGAATTATTGAATGAAAAAAAATTCTATTTTCAGCTAAAAAGAAGAAATGATTAAAAATATTCAAGTGAACTTACAGTGATTAAACCCATGCATGGAGTATAAGTGAAATACGCACCCTGCTAATTAGACCCTAACTAGAAGGACTTCTATCTGAGGATGTGGTCCCTCTAACTAATAACCCAATATAAGTTTCATTTGTTATTCACATACAATTCACAGAAACTTAATGTTTCAATCATATATATTTCACAGGATTTTACTGAAGTTTTCTCAAATTTTTACTTACTCTTTGAAATTTAAAGGGACAGAGAGTAATGAGTAATTAAAAGCTGCCACTTAAAGAATCACTATTTCTTATACTGATAGAAATTTGTTGAGTCAAAGATTTGTTAAATATTTTGAGGCTAGGAGACTGGTATATAAAATTGGCGCTTTTGATATCTCAAAGTTAAATGGGAATTTGGGGACTCAAAAATGCTGATTTATTTCTGCAGTCAAGTTTTCTTTTTCACATAATGCCAAGAAGGCCAGAAAGGAGAACACTGCACAGTAACACAGCTGACACCCTGGAACTGGGTTAGATTTCCTGCCTGTGCCCAAAATAGAAATATTGAATGGAGTCAAACATCTTTTAAGATCCTGTTTACATTCTCTATTAAGGCTTTTTATTAACTGTTAACATTTATTCAATCTCTTCAAACTTTACTTTCACAATAAAAAAGGATTAGTTACTTAAAGGATGACTATACAGTAATTCACAGAGACTAGAAAACATAATTGCCTCTATGGCTTTAGTCTATTTTATGTGCTACTTTGTTGTATGTTAACTATGCATGGGTCTTTAAATAAGCCAAATATGTATCGACTTATTAAATAATAACAGTTTGGTATCATGTTTCATTTCAGAACACAATGCGACTAAATGTAAGCCATGATTTCCTCATTTTCAAAAATGTCTTTTAAAAAGAATATTAAATCTCTTTCCTGTATATTCAGTACTATGTGGTAAGATAAATTTGCTTTATAAATCCAGGCTTTTGGTTTCTTGTCGGAGATTTTTTGTCTTTTTATGTTGAACTCAAAAGTAATTCTAGTTCATTAGGTGTTTAACCTATCCAGATCATTGATGTGATTGATGGATGTGCCTTATCTCAAATTCTGTTCTCTAGTTAACCCAAATACTTACCCTTAATGCTAACATACTCAAGCTTCTAGATTTTAAAGTAGATTTCCATAATATTAAAATACATGGACACACAGACACACAGATACACACAGACACACACACAGACACTCCACACACATATACACATACAAACATACAGACCCAGACACACACACACACACACACACACACACACACACACACACACACACACACGCACACACACACACACACGCAAACACACATACAGACTGCAGACCCACACCTCTTTATGATAAAAACCCCAAACAAATTAGATCTAGAAGGAATATCTCTACATAATTAAGATATGAATACAAAAGGTCTAAAGTTAATATTGTACTAAATATAGGAAAGCCAAAAGAATTCCTAGAGTCTTAA